AGATCAGGTGATTGACTCAGTCATTGCAGAATATTCCATTTCTTTTCCATCAAAAGTTCCTGGGTTGCTTTTGCAGTGTGTTTTGGATCATTGTCCATCTGTACTGTGAAGTGCCGTCCAATCAACTGCTGCCTTTGGCTGAATCTGGGCTGACAGCATATCTCTAAACACTGCATAATTCATCCGGCTGTTTCTGTCTTCAGTCACATCATCAATAAACACCAATGACCCAGTGCCACTGGAAGCCATGCATGCCCATGCCATCACACTGCCTCCACAATGTTTTACAGATGACGATGTGTGCTTTGGATCATGAGCTGTTCCAAGCCTTCTCCACACTTTTTTCTTCCCGTCTTTCTGGTACAGATTAATCTTAGTTTCATTCATCCAAAGAATGCTTTTCCAGAACTGGTCTGGCTTTTTTGGATGTTTTTTGGCAAAAACTAATCTGGATTTTCTATCTTCAGGCTTATGAATGGTTTACACCTTGTGGTGAACTCTCTGTATTTACTCTCGTGAAGTCTTCTCTTGATTGTAGACTTTGGCAATGATACGTCCACTTCCTGGAGAGTGTCCTTCACTTGTCTGGATGTTGTGAATGGGTTTTTCTTTACCATAGAAAGGATCCTGCAATCATCCACCACTGTTGTCTTCCGTGGACGTCTATGCCTTTTTATGTTACTAAGCTCACCAGTGCATTCTTCTTTCCTTAGAATGTACAACACTGTTGATTTGGCCACTCCTAATGTTGCTGCTATCTCTCTGATGGTTTTGTTTCATTTTTGAAGCTTTACAATGGCCTGTTTCACTTTCATGGACAGCTCCTTTGAACGCATGATGTAGGTTCTCAGCAATAGATTCCAAATGCAAATACCACACTTTAGAATCACCTCCAGAGATTTTACCTGCTTAACTTATGAAGAAATAATGAAGAAGTAGCCCACACCTGGCCATGAAACAGCTATGGATTTAATTGTCCAATTACTTTTGGTCCCTTGAAAAAGGGGGGAAGGCTACTCTTAAAAGCTGTAGTTCCTAAACTCTTTCTCCAATTTGGATGTAGACTCAGAGAGTGTGCACTTTCAGCCCGTATCCATTATATAATTATAGCTTGAATATGTTTTCGTAAATACCTGAAAAAACTTAAATTGTGCCTGTGTCCAAATATATATGGACCTAAATATATATATATATTGCTTATACAGTGATCATCACTGTATAGCCAATAGCAGTGTAAAAAAAAAACTTAACAAAAAGAAAAACATTTTTAAAAGTTGAATAAAACATTTTCGGTCATCAGTCAGTATCTCTGATTACTGCCATGACAGTCTTATGGTGACACTGTACCATGCTGATGATAGTATGTAAAAATGTAAATCAAATTGTGAAAAAAAAAACATTTTTATCTTTTAATTTTCCAAAAAATCCGACAAAAAATTCAGTCAGTACATGAAAACTGATCAATTTTCAAATCTACATACCATAGTTTGTAGACGCTATAACTTTCATGCAAACCAATTAATATTCACTTAGAGGGATTTTTTTGTACCAAGGACACGTGGCAGAATATATTTTGGCCTAGAGTTATGAAGAAATTTGACTTTATTGGATTTATTTTTTATAACAGAAAGCAGAAATACTGTTTTTTTTTTTCTTTTATACAATATGAAAAAAACCCCAGTGGTGATCAAATACTACCAAAAGAAAATTCTATTTGTGTAATAAAATATATACATTTTGGTTGGTTACAGTGTTGCGTTGCATGACCGCTCAATTGCCAGTTAACCACTTCCCGTCTGGCCCATGTACTTAAACAGCTGGACGGGAGCAGTGCAGGAGCGGGTGGCCATTTATAAACGTCCTCCTGCATTTCCTGCCTGTGCGCGCTCCCTGGGAGTGCGCAGCATCGCGATCTGGTGCCCGCTGTATCCAGAGGACACCGATCACTGTACGGGACCTCTGCGTGAGCTCCCAATCATGTGATCACTGATTGGCCAATCAGTGATCACATGAATAGTAGTAAGCAAGATGTCACTTCCTGACATCATTGCTTACTACTAGTGAAATCTGTGAATGATCACAGAGGTCACATGGTACAAGGCTATTCACAACAGCCTTGTACCATGTGACAAGCTGTAACCAATCACAGCTCTCACAGTATTTCTCTATGGCTGCAAGAATGCAGCCAGAGAAAAGGGGAAATGATTGATTTTACAGCCTTTATGGGTGTAAAAGCAATCAGTGTAAAAAAAAAAAAATCTTCATCACCCCCCACAAGTAGTATAGTGTCACTATGGTGACACTGTACTGCTAGGGTGACAGTATGTTGAAAAAAACCCCATAAATTAATATAGAAAGATAAAATAAAAATGTTTGAAAAAATTATAATTTTTGGTTATAAACTAATTTGGGTTATTTTTTTTTCTTACTAAAAAGATAGCTAAATATATTTTTCCCAAGATTTATGAAGAAAGATAATTTATTTGCAAAATTTGATAAGAAAAACATTTTTTTTCAAAATGTTTAGACTTTTTCATTCATATAGCAAAAAAATAAAGATCCCAGTGGTGAATAAATACCACCAAAATAATTTTTATCTGTCTCAAAAAAATGCAAAAAAATTTATATGGGTACAGTATTGCATGACCGCGCAATTGTCATTCAAAGTGTGATAGCACTGAAAGCTGAAAATTGGCCTGGGCAGGAAAGGGGTGAAAGTGTTCGGACCTGAAGTGGTTAATGTAGTGCAGTGCTGAATAGCAAAACATGGCCTAGTCATGAAGGGGGTAAAACCTTCTGGAGCTTAAGTGGTTAAATACCACCAAAAGAAAGCTCTAGCTCTTTCTAAGAAAAAAAAAAGGAATTTGTTAAATATTTGTATTTCTATGGCTAAGATCTCAGTTTACTGAGGTATGACAGTGCTGACTCATCAAATCTCTCCAGGCTCTAATGCCCATTTGTGTTATTTAATTTGCACTGCTCGTAATATACTGTATCAAAGACATGATTTGTAAGACTTGCAGAGAGTAGTAATTAAATCAAAGCTATTCATAACCCCTTTTATTTCTTGTATTTTAACAGCAGTACGAAAAGTGCTGATTTATAGTGTACAAGTAGGGATCTCAGTCTGGGCTGGAATGAGTTTTGCAGGAACATTTTCTTCTCTGAACACCATATTAAAGCATATACAAATAAATGGAAAAAATGGAAAAGTATTACAGCATGCAGTCACAAATAGTGTCACTCTCCACTACCAATTGCAATAATAAAATTGTGAAATAATAAAAAGTAAAAATTAAATGAATAAGAGCCCAGCATCCCAAAATATAATCAATGGTTTGGTCATATACACCAGGTGAGAGCACAACCGGTGAAGGTGTATAATATTTTTTATGATTGGTGGACTGCACGGTTATATTCTTTTGTATCACAGAAGTAACAAAGTCATGGGCTTAATAAGGACATGTTTGCAGCAGTAATATAATTGCAGTGATATTTTATATATATTTTTTGATGCTGGACTTTTATTCCTTTAAGTTTTACTTTTTATTAATTCACAATTTTATTATTGCAATTGGTAGTGGAGTACGACACTATTTTTGACTGTATTCTCTATAACACAATGGTATGAGTATATGCAGAGTGTAAGCGAACCACATTTCTTCACAGTTTTTACACACAATTTAATTTTATTTTCACCATTGCATTGGTTTCACATGAATTTTTGTAATATTTAAAATATTTCATTATTTAAATATTCATTAGCACTTTGTATACACCATAGTAGCTCACAAGATCCCATACTTAAGTATCACAGCAATTGTCATCGATTATTACAGCAGGATTATCTGTCCTGTACAGCAGACTTCATATGCAAGGTTAAAATAAGTCATGGGTCCCTTTCTGAATGATCTAATGGAGGTGCCAGTCTCTATTTTTAATTATTATTTATATTGGATATAAATTAAAATGTGTGGGGCTTCAGACAATTCTTCCTGGCAATTAAATGTAATAAGCCTTTCCAAAGGAACAGTGAATTATGATTATATATTTTTTTTTTGCATTGCAACCATGTAGATTAGTGTCCCTACCAAACCCACCTAACGAGAGTAATGTTTCAGCCTACTGAATTTTTACTTTTGAGGTCTCTGATGTTTAAACCATGCCTGATGGCCATGTGCAGCCTATTGGTTATTCAGGAGGGGTGCTTTGGGCTCCCAACAGTCAGTATTGGAGTCATTAGGGTGGATTTACTAAAGGCAAATAGACTGTGCACTTGGCAAGTGCAGTTATACTCATTTTCCCCAGAGCTGAGATAATGTGGAAAAGCTCTGCTGATTTCCAACATCCAATTTTGTGTAAGCAAAAATGCTGTTTTTTTTATTTTTCTTGCACCTAATTGGGTGCATAGTGCAGAGTCTAGTTGCCTTTAGTAAATCCCCATAGATTTGTAAAGGGACTATAATGGCCAAGCACGTCTCATATAACATGTTCTGTCTCTCACCATTCCCTGTATAATGTCCGAAAGCTCTGTAGCAGTACATATACTGAATATTATTTTTAAATCTACAAAATTGACAACCAATGACACTGTTACTACTACTATCATTCACAGTCTTGGTTCCACCATATACTTTTGAAATTTGGTATCAAGGCCCCTTCAGGGATAAACAATGACAGTCGGTGGCTAGGTTCACACAGCCAATGCTCTAAACTGCGATATGCTGTGTATCACTTTTCAAAGTGCAGCTAAGCAGCCACTATTAGGCATTCAGAAGTGATTCTGCACCCTCCTGAATGCTTTTTTTGTGTTTTTCTTCCTGCTGAATGTCATTTTTATTGGGTTTTCATGTTTTGTTTTTTTGTTTTAGTTTCAAAGTACTCTAGTTGCAAGCCAAGAGTTTGTGGTGTGGTCACGGTGGCTTGACTGGCTAAGTTTGACAGGTGGTACTGCCTGTCAAATCGCCATACTGTGTGAACTTTGAACAGCCCCCTTCTGCTGTTGTTTAACCCCCCTGGCAGTATTCCTGAGTGTAGCTCAGGGTTAACTTTCAGTAGCAGAAGCGGTAACCCCAGCTACACTTGGGAATACTCTGCAGCGTTGCACTGGGATCCCTCCAGTACTTACCTTGTCCTTTGCTCCCGCGATGTTCCCCCTGCAGCATCCCCGGCAATGTCCTCCGGCCGATGCCGGCATCTGTCTTCTGGGTTCCGTTCCCTGCGAGCGTCGGGACATACGGGACGTATGGGGGACAGAACCCGCAGGAAATTCCAAAATGTAAAAATGTGACATTCACTCAATACACTAAATTCTGATAGTATTACATTACTGTATCAAACCATTTCACACACATATTGTCCCTAGTGTTTTGTCCAGCGCCCTGCCTGCATTTTTACTGTTCTTTCTGCCTGGAAACTGAGAAACGTCCATGGCATCCAAAAAGCATCCCTTTAGGTCAAAAGCGGTTTTAGACCAGCTAGAGAACAGCGATAGTAAATCAGAAACACTTGCAGAATTGAGTGATGATTTGTGGGGAAATTCGTCATCAGACGCTGAGAACGATTTTGCGACTGAGCTCAGTGATGTGCGAACTTGGCGTCTATTTCAAATTTCAGTGTTTTTGGTTTGATTACATTATTGAATTACATTTATTATTATTATATTATTATTTTTTTATGATTATTTATTATATTATAATTTATGATTTCATGTTTAAAATTTTATCATACCCGGGATGTTTACTAGACTCTTGTTTGGACAGATTTCAGTGAGTTATTCCTAAGTATTACAGGCCTACAATAAAAAAACAACATATTTCCATTGAAAACAATGTACCGCATTGAGCACAGAAATACTGACATAACCAGACCGCTAGGGAGGTTAACTTTTAGATGAGTGGCTGGAGGAGGGGGGAAGAAAACCGTGGATCGACCTCCTGTTTTACCACCTCCCAGGTGCCTTTGTGAAAGAGACCTTTAAGAGTATTATGGTAAAAACTTAGAGCACTGAAATGTGAAGGCAGGAATGACACATTTACTGGCAGAGGCTATGAAAGATATGATAGCGCGTATAGTCCAACTTCACTTTGCATGTATGAGGAAGAAGTAGGTATTAAACAGTTTTCACCAGAATAGTAGTTACTTTTCCTTTTTTCACTTTCTAAAACTGCCAACACAGGTTACAATTTGATTTGTATAATCTCTGTGCTATTCCTTAGATTTATTAACTATAAAGTGCAAAGGCCTGCCTAAAGAATCTATTCAACTTCTATGCATATGCAAGTAGATCTTTGCACTTTGTCACCCAATATTTATAGCATGGAGGAATCTTTAAAATGATTCTAGCTAAAGCTCAGGGTACAGTAGCATGATCAGTAAGCTGTAGAAAATTGTACATAAAGAATTTGGCATACCTCCCTTCTCTATACGACAGCAATATTTACAGAAATATTCTTGAGATTAAATTAAAGTGGTTGTAAAGTCTCAAGATGTTTTTTACCTTCATGCATTCTTTGCATAAAGGTAAAAAAACCTTCTCTGTGCAGCAACTTCCCCCCAGCCCACTCAATACTCACCTAAGCCCCATCTTGATCCAGCAATATACACTGGAGTCTTGGCTATCCTGGGACTCCCCTCCTCATTGGCTGAGAGCTACTGATTGTCAATCACAGCCAGTGAGCCTATGACGAGAGAGATGGTGGGGTGGGGCTGAGCTGTGGCTCCATGTGTGAATGGATAAACAGAGCAAAAGGTGCCCCCATAGCAAGCTGCTTGCTGTGGGGGCATCCAACAGGAGGGAGGGTCCTAGAGCACAGGCAGGGGACCCGAGAAGAGGAGAATTTGGGCTGCTCTGTGCAAAACCACTGCTCTCAGCAGGTAAGTATAGACATGTTTGTTATTTAAAAAAAATAAACCTTTAAAATCACTTTAATAATATGAACACCAGAAAACAAAGGAGAAAATAAAAATTGTGAAAATTATGTAACTGCACTGCCAAAAAAATCCAAATTGTGAACCATAAAACAAAACAAACAGTAAAACAATAGCCACACTCAAAAAATACCAATGCGAATACTCAATAAGTGATATCCAGTTGTTGTTGTGCTATTGGTAAAAAATATACTAATAGCGAGTCACTTATACTTTAAATGTACTCCAACCAATATTATGCATGAATCACCAAACAATGAAAAAGTCTTTTGAAGAAAAATTTCCGATTATGATGAACAGCCGTGTTCACAATAATCCTCCACATGTGTATTGAAATATAGACTCTCGTGCCCATCACCACAAAAAAACTTAGTGCTCCTTACTGAATAGTTAGACCCCAGATTATAGGTGGTCTAACAGAGCGTGATGGTGAACATATCTTGCTTTGTAACAACCACAATTGATATAATCCAAAAATATTTAGAAAGAATAAAGGTGAATAAAGCACTTGGACCAGATGGCATACACCCAAGGGTCCTTAAAGACTTGAACTCTGTCATTTCGAAGCCATTGTTTCTAATTTTTAGGGACTCTTTAATGACTGGCATAGTACCACTGCTGGATTGGCGTAAAGCCAATGTGGTGCCTATATTTAAAAAGGGGTCAAAATCTTTACCAAGTAATTATAGACCTGTTAGTTTAGCTTCTATAGTTGGGAAGACACTAGAGAGTTTAATAAAAGACCACATAGATGAGTTCTTGCTGGAAAAAAATATTTCAAGCAACAGACAGCATGGATTCATGAAAGACAGAAGTTGTCAAACAAATCTGATTTCTTTTTCTGAAGAGGTGAGCAAAACCTTGGACAGAGGGGTGGCGGTGGACATGATATACAGTGGGGATCAAAAGTTTGGGCACCCCAGCTAAAAATTTGTATTAATGTGCATAAAGAAGCCAAGGAAAGATGGAAAAATCTCCAAAATTCATCAAATTACAGATTAGACATTCTTATAATATGTCAACAAAAGTTAGATTTTATTTCCATCATTTACACTTTCAAAATAACAGAAAACAAAAAAATGGCGTCTGCAAAAGTTTGGGCACCCTGCAGAGTTAATATCTTGTACTGCCCCCTTTGGCAAGTATCACAGCTTGTAAATGCTTTTTGTAGCCAGCCAAGAGTCTTTCAATTCTTGTTTGAGGTATCTTTGCCCATTCTTCCTTACAAAAGTCTTCCAGTTCTTTGAGATTTCTGGGCTGTCTGTCACGCACTGCTCTTTTAAGGTCTATCCATAGATTTTCAATTATGTTGAGGTCAGGAGATTGTGAAGGCCATGGCAAAACCTTCAGTTTACGCCTCTTGATGTAATCCCCGTGGATTTCGAGGTGTGTTTAGGATCATTATCCATTTGTAGAAGCCATCCTCTCTTTAACTTCAGCTTTTTCACAGATGGCATCAAGTTACCAAACAAAATTTGCTGAAATTTTATTGAATCCATTTTTCCTTCTACTCGTGAGATGTTCCCTGTGCCACTGGCTGCAACACAACCCCAAAGCATGATTGATCCAACCCCATGCTTAACAGTTGGACAGAGGTTCTTTTCATTAAATTCTGTGCCCCTTCTTCTCCAAACGTACCTTTGCTCATTCCGGCCAAAAAGTTCAATTTTAACCTCATCGGTCCACAGAACTTGTTTCCAAAATGCATCAGGCTTGTCTATATGTTCATTTGAAAAGTTCAAACGATGATTTTTGTGGTGAGGACGTAGAAGAGGTTTTCTTCTGATGACTCTTCCATGAAGACCATATTTGTACAAGTATCTCTTTATAGTGGAATAGTGTACCACAACTCCAGTGTCTGCCAGATCTTTCTGGAGGGATCGTGCAGTCAAACGTGGGTTTTGAATTGTTTTTTTCACAATCCTGCGAGCTGTTCTGTCTGATATTTTTCTTGGTCTTCCAGATCTTGCTTTAACTTCCACTGTTCCTGATGACTGCCATTTCTTAATTACATTCCAAACAGAGGATATTGACATCTGAAAACGCTTTGCTATCTTCTTATAGCCTTCTCCAGCTTTGTGAGCGTCAACTATTTTCAGTTTCAGTTTTCTAGACAACTGCTTAGACAAACCCATGGTGCTGATTGTTGGGGCAAGGTCAGATGAGTCTGGGCATTTAAAACCTTTGAGATTGACAACACCTGGTCTTCCCAGACGATGATTGAGAACAATCCATGACACTGGCAGGTCTCAGCTTTGCAAAGGGGGCAGTGCATGCTATAAATTCTACAGGGTGCCCAAACTTTTGCAGATGCCATTTTTTTGTTTTCTGTTATTTTGAAAGTGTAAATGATGGAAATAAAATCTAACTTTTGTTGACATATTATAAGAATGTCTAATCTGTAATGTGATGCCTTTTGGAGATTTTTCCATCTTTCCTTGGCTTCTTTATGCACATTAATACAAATTTTTAGCTGGGGTGCCCAAACTTTCGATCCCCACTGTACTTGGATTTTTCAAAAGCATTTGACACAGTTCCCCACACACACGGCTAATGTGTAAGGTAAAGTCTACAGACCTGGAAAAATCTGTATGTAAATGGATGGAAAATTGGCTACAAGATCGTATTCAAAGAGTAGTGGTTAATGATTCATACTCTGAATGGTCTAGGGTTGTCACCGGCATACCCCAAGGTTCAGTATTGGGACCCTTACTTTTTAATATATTTATAAACAATATAGGGACTGAGATTAAAAATACCATTTCAGTCTTTGTAGATGATACCAAGCTGTGCAGTGGAATAACGTCCTTACAGGATGTCTTCAGTTTACAAGCCCACCTCAATGCACTGTTTAATCGGACAACTATGTGGCAAATGAGTTTAATGTTTTGGTAGATCACAAGCCTAATAATGGCATGCAATGCCAAGCTGCGGTTTCTAAAGCGAGCAAAATCCTCTCTTGTATTAAAAGAGGTATAGACTCCAGAGAGAGAGAGATATCATATTACCCCGGTACAAATCATTAATAACACCTCATCTGGAATATGCAGTTCAGTTTTGGGCACCAATTCACAAAAAGAACATTGGGGAACTGGAGAAAGTACAGAGAAGGGCAACCAAACTGATAAGAGGCATGGAGGAGCTCAGCAATGAGGAAAGATTAGAGGAACTGAATTTATTCTCTCTTGAGAAGAGGAGATTAAGGGGGGATATGATCAACATGTATAACTACATCAGTGGTTCATATAGTGAACACGTTGTAGAGTTATTCGCCCTGAGGTCATCACAGAGGACAAGGGGGCACTCTTTACGTCTGGAGTAAAAGCAATTTAATCTCCAAACACGGAAAGATTTCTTCACAGTGAGAGCTGTGAAAATGTAGAATAGACTTCTTCAAGAGTTGGTTCTGGCCAGCTCAGTGGAT